TGACTACTATCTTAAGTAGTAAGGGAGAGCCAGCATATTGCAAAATGAGCAAGTGCCAGAAAAAGTATTATTAACAGAAAACCTGAGGCTTATCTTATCATACATAATTCAACAACTTGACTTTTTATGGTCCCATGAGCTTCTACCTGTGATTTTACTTTGCACCCATTTCTTTCTGATAAGATGTTCTTATTTACAGGATCAAATCAAACATCAAAGTTGCATGGTGCTCTACAGAGAACTGTGTCACTTGAACAAATTTCAAATCATATTCTGTAGTTCTTGTTAAGCAAGTGGGCTCAAAGGACAAAGGAAGAGTCCTAGAAGACATCTCTTTCCTCTTCCTTTCACTCCCCCCAAGCCCCTGCAACTTTTTTTCCCTCCTGTGGTAGTTTTCCTCTGGGCTTTCTCTCACCGTCCTTCCTTTGCATTCCACTCACCCACCACCCCAGTTCCTACAAGAACAGCCATAATAACTCCAAACTGGTTCCCTTCCTATACTCCCTGTCCACTCAAATCCATCACATTCTGTCTGCACATTCTTTCTGTAACACAGATTTTTTTCAAGCCCTTATCCTGTTCAAACATGTTTACTGATTCCTTATTCCTTATTTAATAATGTAAGTAGAGCACCTGGGTGACTTAGCTCATTAAGCGTCTGGGTTTGGCTCAGGTCATGATCCCAGGGTCCTGGGATTGAGCCCCGCGTCAGGCTCCCTGCTCAGCGGGAAGCCTGCTTCTCCCTCTTCCAGTCCCCTTGCTTGTGTTCCCTCTCTTGGTGGGTCTCTTTCTGTCAAATAAATAAAATCTTTAAAAAAAATACCTTCCTTTAAAAACAAAAGGATTTCTCACATCAATGAAATAAGTAGAAGAGTTTAAAATGAATGTAGGGCTTTTTAAAAAGCTGGTTCTCCTTGAGGAATTGGCAATGCTACTTCAGTTTGTTCTTGTTTGCCTTTGAGGAATGACCAGTGATTTATCCAGACACCTATGGATGAATATCAGTATTCTCATCACTTAGAAATGATCCCTTGTTCTTTTTTTATGAATTTTCCTGTCACTGGATCTTTACTGGAATCAAAGACCAATGTGTTTATTAGGATCAATGAGAGTCAGAGTGGTCAGGATCACATTACCTGATGTTTACTGTCAAAATATGACTGGAATAGTATAAATATATATATGTGTGTTTGTGTCTGTATATACACATATATTTACACACACACACATATATACAAAAAGAGATGTCTATCATATCGTTTACCATTAATTATAGGAATTAAAATATTTTCTGCAGAAGTCTGGAAAGATGAACTCTGTGCCCAATGATTATCACTCCTCTAGGGTAGCAATATAGAGTACAACTCTGTTCTTTATACGTTGTTTTACTTTTTATTTTTTAATAAGCATATGTTACTTTCAGAATCTGGGAAAATGTCTATTTTTAACAAGAAACTTTAAAGTTTTCTTCAAAAAGTCATATGAGCAGTTAACTGTGCCATTTGGCGTTTGTTGGATATTTGGAAATAAGCTATAGTGGCTTGTCCCCTCTAATGAGTTCATCTCTGAATGGCATCTTTCTGGACATTGTTAGAAATAGCCCCCAGACTCAGAGCTCAATAATGAGAGTTTGTTCATTTAGTCTAATCATTATTGACTAACGTGCATTTCAAATGCAATCTCAACCATTAATTAGTCATTCCTTAAAACAGTGCAATGGGAAAGATGAGCATCATTAACCTTGTTTAAAAGTGAGACCAGCCAACAGTGCCCCATAGAGGAGGCCCACTCCCCCAGTTCCACGGTCCTTACTGCTGGGAATCCTGCCATGTTTCAGTAGGATACACAAAAGTGAGAATTTTTTTTAAAAATACCCTCCATGTTTCTATTTCATAAGCCCTCAGGTTTAGATTTGCTCAAACTCTGTAACACTGATCAGTCTTGCAAAACCCTTATAAACACACCATCAGGTCTAGTCAACCACTTCCCATGGCAACCACATGTAAAACATGCAGCATGATATATGTGCTTTTAAAATGTTCACAAATTCCCCCAAATGTACTCACAGAAGCGTCATAGTGATGATAAGATGTTAATCAAACAACAGATGCATATTGAATATCCATTATCCACTTCATTCTGGAACTGTGAACAGGGATGGGGGCAAGATATTAGACACCTATGCCCTGTCTTTGCTCTAGGGTACTTATAGTTTGATAAAGAAACCAGGCAAGGGACGCCGGGGTGGCTCAGTTGGTTGGATGACTGCCTTCGGCTCAGGTCATGATCCTGGAGTCCCGGGATCGAATCCCGCATCGGGCTCCCGGCTCCGCGGGGAGTCTGCTTCTCTCTCTGACCTTCTCCTCGCTCATGCTCTCTCTCACTGTCTCTCTCTCTCAAATAAATAAATAAAATCTTAAAAAAAAAAAAAGAAACCAGGCAAATGCATATAAAACTTAAAAATGTTATTTAAAAAACCCTTTTCAATGTATATTCCTCAACTTCAAAATAAGCATTTTTTTATCCTTTCCTCACAAAAATATATGTCTTCTGTTGTTATTTCAGTTAAACTAAAGTTGCAATGCTTGGGGGCACACATTACTTTAGGAGGTTGCAAAGGCCCTGAATTATTTATTTCACTATTTAGAGAATGCCAATGTATTCCCTCTCTCAAGAAGAAAACTATGGAAGCCATTTTGAATTATTAAAAAATTTTCCTAGCTGCCCACAGAAGGGTAACAAATGTAATGAATCCGTGTGCTGTTTTCCACTGCACTAAGCCATCACACATAATAATTCTCTTTGCTTTTCTAAAATACGCACGCGCACATGCCCACACATTCACAAACACACATGCTTGTTGCTTTGAAGGGAAGATCATTCTCGATACCTCTCAAACGGGTGAAAATCTTGTATATATTCTCATCTGCCCCAGTTTATGGCCTCACAACAACTCACTCTTCATCCTAAGCACACACAGACTACCCCGATTCCCCCTTTGTGGCCAGTGAACTTCTAAACAGAACACTTCAGGGGAAAATGGATCTGTCTTCCTTGATCCCAGGGTAGAACCAAAATGAAAATAACAAGACTTCAAGGGCCCAAACTCCTTCACGTCACCTCCGACTTCTCATTCAAAGGGGTACTTTGGGCGGCAGGTGGAGTTATAATTATAGAGTAGAAAAAAGCTACATCAGCAGCTGTTGCTTCTGTTTGTTCCCAGCTATAACTGTCATCAGTGGGCAAATTGGCATAAACAGGCCTCCGCAAGTGGAAAAACATTTAACTCCTGGACTTGTCACCCTCTGGGTCTTCTCGGTCACCAGAGAAGGAAAGGAAATCTGAGTGTGCACGAGCGAAGCGGGAAGCCGAACGCAGCACCGACCTGAAGGCTCCTCTTCAGGGGGAGCCTGAAATCGCAAGATTTTCTTTCCTGCCGGAGCCTCCAAACCCAAGAAATAGGTTAGTGCACAAAGAGTACCCGTGTATTTTCATTCTGACCTCTACTCTATCCGATCTTAATTTTTCTGACGGCTGAAACAGATGAGAGAGCTGTTAAACCAAGTTGAGGACTGTTATCTAAAATGAGACTGCCCATGAGAACAAATTATGAAATGGGCTTAATTTATTATGCTCCTCTCCCCCCATTTTGGCTCTACTCACATTAGACAGATAGACAAGGTAAAGATGGGAAAATGAGACTGTCTTTGTGGCACGATTGCCGTCCTCTCGTAATGCCACTTCCTTATGCCAAAAAGCCCCGATTTCTTTACTAACATCAGTGATGTTGAAAGTTTAAGTTTGTGAATGTAGTGCCAGAGTCTTATTTCTTCGGGGAAACTAGGCAAATCAGAATTGGACTGTTTTCTCACCTCTGAATAAAGACAGGACGTTTTCTCATTTAGATAAAATGTGTGCTGCAGGCTACTTCCTGTAAGAAATCTGCTAGAGGATTTATTTCCTGTGTCTTAGCCCAAATCTCTCTAAAACCTCCATAATTTCCATCTAAGTAGCTCTCTGTAAGACCCTCCTCACGGATCATTTTGAAGCAAAAAAGACTTCAAAGACCTCTCATGTTATCTGTTTATGCTCCATGTTAGAGAGTAGTGGTGCCGGATTAGTTCAAGGCCATCTCAGAACTTGAATGTTTGCTTTCTTGTTGAAAGCAATGGAATTCCAGAGAACTCACTGGAACGAGGCACTGGGGTCCTATTCTCATCCTACTCACATCTACGGAACAGATCCAAGTAGAGAGAGCCCAAATCGGGACCTCATTTTGGTCAGTTCCAAACAGAAAGTGAGCCTCCCTAGGTATTTTATGATGACTTTTCCAGGGAAAAGTCCACTACTATCGTGGTGACCCTTCCTTGAAAAGTGTACAGAGGGCTCCCCATGCACTTGGAGCCCCACTACAGAGGTACCCACATCCAACTAAAGCCACCAAAAGTGACCCATGAATTAAATTCCCACAAGAGGCTTGCTTCTTTTCAACAGTATCGCCTGATTTCTAAGTAGAGAGCCATAAATTCCCCCTCAGGAAATTTAAGGGTGAAATAGATACTTCTTTACATACCTTAGCAAATAAAGGCCCAAAGAGTACATTTGGCTGGTGCTTTTGGAAATGTCAATTTATATAGCATATCGATACCCTAAATCTTCCCATGAATTAAGAAAACACACAACACATTTCTTAGATCACATTTGTTCATTTAAATATTACTAAGTGATGACTATAAAACCTGGATAACATTTAGAAATGAGTGCAAGTTCCAATATCACCCTTTCCAGAGACTACTTAACTCCCCTTTCCTACTAAAAGATTCAGCGAGGTGAAGGTGCTTATCGCCAAATTCCAAATCAGTTAAACAGAGCAAGGCAGAATGGGGAGATGGCTGGTTAGTGGCTTGAGTCTGAGACATAGACTTAATGCTCAAACTTAAACATTGCTTTTTACTTGTGTTTTGTCTTCTTGCTCTTCTAGACAAAAAAAGCTATCCAAGATGACTGTCACGTACTCCAGTAAAGTAGCAAATGCGACTTTTTTTGGATTTCATAGGTTACTCCTCAAGTGGAGAGGCAGCATCTACAAACTACTGTACAGGGAATTTATTGTCTTTGCTGTTTTTTACACGGCAATAAGTTTGGTGTACAGGTACCTTCCTTTGCATGTCTCCTATGGCCATCAGATATCATGGAAGAATACAGTCTCAAAAATCGGAGCCTTTGGTTGCCGCTGACTCTTGCATTATGTAATCTCCTCCTTTGCATGATCCATTCTTGCCTTCTTCACCTCAGGACATGGTATTTTAATCCACACCTAACCATGCTCAGGATGTTAAGTAGACCCTAACTATCATATTCAGGTGGCTCTCATTCCAGCCCCATGTTAGCTGATCACAATGAGTCACGCTGCCAGACTTCGCCAGAGGTATAAAAGGGAAGATTTATACTTAAATACTCAGAGATGATTTGGAATGGCAAAGGCCACAGACAAATAATCACTTGTGCCCCTCTCAGCTATGTCATTGATAATGTCAGTTTGTAATTTGACAACTTATAGCAACTACCTGCGTAATGAACGTGTTTGAGAATGGTATGTATCAGGCAACTTTCCTTTCTTCTGCCTGGAATGACAAGATCTTATCCAGGATGGTGCCTGCCAATCCTACCTATACCTCAACTAAATAAAGGCCTGAAAACTAATTTATTTTGTTGATATCTTCTGAGTTTGGGGTGTGTTATATTCACAACAAAAGATGTTTATTCTTTACAACATCACAACCTACACCTGTCAGACTGACAGAAAATCTGAGCAAAATCATGTCCAAGAAATACTTTCATGGCTAAAATCATGGTCTTAATAAAATTTTATCAATAGTACAAAAGAGAAGCTTTGTGAGTTTTTTTTTTTTTATTAAAATTGATTGCATTCATTTCTACTCTGGGGGAAGTTAGAACTTAAAATAAAAAAGCTAAAGGTTTTTGAGGCTGTATTTCCTCCTTTTCTATGTAGTTCAGTTTGTTCTTTCCCGCATACAGGTGAACAAATTTGTGTTATCATTGCTCTTACCTGCCTTCTTCTTTGCAGCAGCAGGACTCTATCTGAAGAAGAGGGATAATTTGGCCAGCCGATAATTATCAAAAGTAGAATAGGAAGAGCTGTTTTGCTGCCTATCAAAATATCTGTAAAGGGAAAGTTTTATTTACAAACCTCTAATCTTCTTTCAGTTGTGTCTTATAAATACAATATTATTTGGACAATTTATTTTTGTGTCATCTAATCCTTCAGAATATGAAATGGTGGAAGGCACATGACGTTTCAGAATAATTGTCTCATTAGTTTATTTTTACTAATGTGAGTTTATTGCTGCTACCGCTGCTTAGGATAGAAGAGCACTTAGAGCAGCTGCATCCTAGCCAGAAATCCTCCATGGGGCCTCCTCTTTTGCTCTAATATCTTATTTATACCCCATAAAATAGTATGCATATATTTTTTTAAAATTTTTTAGACCAAAAAGTACTTACATTTATAATAATGATCAATTGTGCAAGTCATTCTTCATTTTTTTAAATGTTCAACTATAAAATCTTATCAAAATAGATGTTTAATCTTGATTAAAGGCATACCAAGAACTATAGGCTGACTTTACCAAGAAAGTCAAACATACCTGTAGAAAAATATAGACACAGTGTCATTCTCATGTGTACTAATAATCCTAAATTTTAAAATTCTGTTATAAGCAAATAATTACACTTAGCAAAAATCCTAAGTCAAAGACAGAATTCATTTCTTTGATTATATCTCTTTTTACTTTTGGATGAACTTGACAAAATCATCATTTTAGTACTTTCTAGCTACTAAACTTCCTATGTAGCTAATAGCTGAATATTTTTTCCTTTGGCAAATTATTAATAATAACAGCCTCTTTAATCAATTAAGTATGACATCATATGTTAAGTAGTTATATATATAATATATTCTTTAAGCTTCATAACATTCCTAACACATAGTTATTATTATTCCCATTTGCAAAAAATGGGAAAACTGAGGCTCAGAGAGATTTAAAGATAGGTTCCAAGTCCAAATCTTTAAGTGGCTGATCCGGAATTCAAACCTGGGTTCCTCTGACCTTATGGCCTGTGCTTTCCACATTTAAATCATCTTTGACCATTTCTATCTGAGTATCAGAAACTGTTCTGGCTGTGACTTGTCATTGGCATGACCTTGACACGCCTGCACAACCCGTTCCTAACTTCAGAATTTCTGACACTTCCTCCAAAGCCAAGGCAGGAATTCCAAGCTCACCCTGCACCCCAAGCTCACCCTGCACCCCAGAATCCTCTCAGCACCAGCTTTTCATCTGCAATCTGGCTGGTGGCTCCCTGTTACCTCATTATCCCTCTGCTTCCCTTATCCAAGTTCTCCTGACTCAAACACACCCTTGGCACATGTTATCATGGATTTCCAAGAGATTTCTTCTTCCCTTGGAACAGCTGTTCTCATTCTTTCATGCAAATTCATCTGTGTTGTTCCTCTTTCTAGATCTTGACCATGACTTGAGACCTTTCTTCTGCCTCTGAATCCCCTCCCTATAATATAAACATCAATAATAGTTTCATTAAATGAATTTATGTCAAACAATACCAGAAAATTAGTTTTGGTCAGATCTGTAATATAAATTTTTATATTTATATTATAGAACTACAAACCCACCAAATATAGTAATTAAAAAATTTTACTTCTAGTTATATCTGCATTGTTTTATATTTTAACTAATTGTAGGTGAAATAAACAGTTATAATCTCCCTTGAAGTATAGCGCATATGATCAAGAATGTGCTAAGTAGCATATTCAGGGAAGAGTAAGATCAAGATGTCAAATTTAGGGCTATTATTTAGTAATTAACTTAATAACTGTAATTCACTTAATCAAGACACTTTTTTTTAAAGCATACCTGACGAATAATTGAAAATTGGACGCCTTCATGAGGTATTTTGCTCTAAATCCAATGTATTCATCACACAAAAGCTTAAAATGTAAAGTATTTAAAAACAAAAGTTAATAAACCCAACTGTCTAATGGCCAATAACATTCATGTACTAAAAACATTAGTACTTGAACCATTCGGCAATTAAAAAGCCTTTGAGAGACATCAGCTCAGGTAGGAAAAAAGTTATTGTGCCTTAAAAAAAAAATTACAATTATTTGTGCTTAATTGTTTGCACTGAATATCACTTGCAAAGCAGGTGCAGAAGTATAATATCATAAAGGGCTATGCATTTTATTTTTGCTCCAGATTGTTACTTACAGGAGCCCAAAAACGTTACTTTGAAAAATTATCAATTTACTGTGACAGATATGCTGAACAAATTCCAGTAACCTTTGTGCTTGGTAAGTATAGGTCACACGCAGAATGCAGCCACACAGCTGTCTCCGTTAGGATGGCACCGATGACTCTGCATGGGAGTGTTTCCAAGCTGAGGGGCATGCCTGAAAAGCCACCGCTTGCAATAGAACCCCAACCACCCGTAAGGTTTTCCTTCAGGACTGCTTTGGCTAAATTAACCCCAAACGAGTTTGAGGTCATCATTTGCGATTGGACAATCACGCTTCCTCTTCACTAACGCTCCATTTTTGCTGTCAATATTTAAACTCTAATACCCACTCACTGGGTGCTAAGGCCTTGCCAGGCACAAATTATTTATTTATTTATTTATTTATTTATTTATTTTTATTTATTTATTTCGGAGGGCGAAATTCTAAGATACAGATAGCAACATATTTTTACATTCCAATCCCTAAAAAAGCTGAAATTCTGCTAAAAGCATCAGGGTCACCATGTATGCTGCAAGAAATGGCTTTATCGTTTCCTGTCATTTTACAGGGTTTTATGTCACTCTGGTAGTGAACCGATGGTGGAACCAGTTTGTGAATCTGCCCTGGCCGGATAGGCTGATGTTCCTCATCTCCAGCAGTGTTCACGGAAGGGACGAGCACGGGCGCCTGCTAAGAAGGACGCTGATGCGCTATGTCAATCTCACGTCTCTACTTATCTTCCGCTCTGTGAGCACCGCTGTGTACAAAAGGTTCCCAACCATGGACCACGTGGTTGAAGCAGGTATGTTGAATGCCTTTGCCCTCCGTGGACTCCCCTCAGCCTAGATGGGAACCTCCAAAATTCCTCTGAAATTTTATTTATTCATTCATCCAAGAAACATTTACTGATTACTTCCTATATGCCAGAAACAGTCTTCAGAGGCAAAAATGAGTAAGACATAGTTACTGCTCTCAAGAAGTTTCCTAGGGGCGCAAAAGAGAAGTGGCAGAGAGTCAACTTCAAATTCAGTGGCAAAGAGTCACATGGCCTTTAGGTAAATATACTATAACAATAATTACTGTATTTATTAGAACCATGTTAATATCACCTGACCTTTTCTAAAAGTCAATTCTAGCAGGAACCAACCATGAGTTTTTGTCTAGGCAGTGTGGCTCTGGTCTCTCTTTGACCCCTCAAAGTAGATGCAGTTGGGGACGCCTGTCTGGCTCAGTCTGCCGAAGGTGCAACCCTTGATCATGGGTTTGTGAGCTCAAGCCCCACACTGGGTGTGGAGATTACTTTAAAAAGAAAAAAATCTAAAAAAAAAAAAAAAATAGATGCATTTGTTCAACCCGCGCTCCTGGGCACAGTATGCTGGGAACAAGTCATGTTGGGAGGATGGTTCTCTTTGGTATGTTAATATTTAGGAGAGAAGCTGTCAGAGCAGACCTTAATGGGTTGAGGATTAAATGAGATCATTGTGGGCAGGCACCAAATAAAAACTGGTAGTTGTGCTTGGTGGTTGTTTGTCAGTCTGATAGTTTGTTGGGATAGATTAATGAATACACATTTTAAAACCATGAGGTGGGGCGCCTGGGTGGCTCAGTTGGTTAAGCAACTGCCTTCGGCTCAGGTCATAATCCTGGAGTCCCAGGATCAAGGACCACATCAGGCTCCCAGCTCCATGGGGAGTCTGCTTCTCCCTTCAACCTTCTCCTTTCTCATGTTCTCTCTGTCTCTCTCTCAAATAAATAAATAAAATCTTTAAAAAACAAAAACAAAAACAAAAAACGTGAGGTGATTCTGCCTTTATATTGAGTACAGTCTCAAATTAGGTTGCTGTATCAGGCTCCTTTCCTGAGATGGCCTTGAAAACAGCTTTTTTTAAAAAAAGATTGATATTTGAGGGCTTTTTTGAAGAGGTTTTTATGCATGGGCATAACGAGCCTTGTGCTGACTTCAGTGACTCAGTTGGTTTGTGTGGACAGAACTGACTGGAGCCATGAGGGTGCCTAGGCCTGTGCGGGTGCCTCTGGGGCCTGGTTCCCTGACATCACAGGGAACATGTCTGTACTGTTCTCGCTCCCTCTGAAGTGTTCTCACAAGAAAAAGCAGTAATTGGACAGCTTGTAGCCACAGGGACATAAAGGGACATAAAGTTTGTGCACTGGGCAGAGAGGCAAAGGTTCCAAACCACTGCCCTCGGAGCTAGGAGAGCCACTCCAGAGGCCAGATCCTTCCTGACTGGCCCACAGTCTGCCATATTGAGTGGGCACCCGCTCTGTGGACTGGCAGCTGGCTCACCAAACTTGCTCCTTTCCCCAACAGAGAGGGCTGAGTCAGTGTGCACATGGGGTCAGTTTCCACTCTCCCCCGAGCTGGACACATGCCTCCGTCACTGTCTGACTGTCCTTGGCCTGTGCCAACGTTTCTGGGAAGAACAGGAAATTCAGGGATGGCGGAAAATGTCTGGCAGATGTCCTGAGCCCAGAGCCAGGGCACCTGCTCTGCCTGAGGGGAGAGAGGGCTAGTAAATAAAGCACAAGGGCCCCAGAGGAGTGGGGGCAAAGGCTGGAGGCAATGTTGAGGGTACAAGAAAACCTACTTCCTTTCTGGTGACTTTCTTACATAAAATCACCTGTCAGGAAAAGTACATGTTCTCAAACCTCAGTGCACAGTAGATTTTGTTAAAAGTCAATATTGCTAAAAACTCAGATCCCAAGATACCACACCTAGAGATTCTGATTCAGTAGATCTGGGGTGGTGGCCAGGAATGAATGGATTTAACAAGCCCCTGGACACTCTGAGGCAAGGGGTCCCTGGTCTTCTGAGAGACAATGGGTTTTAAGATGGTTGGAGTTTCCCTCTAAAAGCTTTGCCTGGCTTCAGGGAATCTTTCTTCAGAAAGATTCAGAACTGAGTGAGAGGGCAGAGAGAATGACCAGCATCTCCTTCTGAAGCATCTGGCAATCTCTTGACTAGAGCCAGATGACCTAGGTCACCCACCTGCTAGTCCCTAACTTTCCTTGCTTTGAAGTTGGACAGTCAAGTTCCAGTAGTCTGGAAAATTAAAAGGAGCAAACGCTGTTGGGGCAATACATATGCTTTGATGTTACAGGTTAAATCTCTCAAGTTAAAAATAAAATGGTTTCATTTCTGCTCACATGAAAATAGAAATACCCGTAGAGTGCAAAATAATATCTATACTGCTGGAAATTCCCTAAACTGGTCTGTTCTCAGTTACTTACCAGAGGAGCTGTAACAGAAGTGTCTCTATCGTTTTGCCTATTGGCAACAAACCTGGCCTGGAAAATTTCAGTCATTCCAATGACCAGCCCTGGAAGATGTCACTCATCCTAAGTCAGGTCAGGTGCACAATTCCAGACCTTTGCCAGTTCAAGCGATGGCCTTAACTGGGTATTTGGATTATGAAATAAAACTGAATCAAAACATTTTAGTTGGTGTTTCATAGTGATCAGAAGGAAAAAAATATTTCTCTTCAAAATTACTCACCAGAATCACAGAAATAGGTGATGGGAAATTATATACACTCCTCTAAAAGAAATATTACTAAAGCTGTTGCTAAATCTGTCATGTATTTGCTTATTTAACAAAGATCTGTTGAGTGTATATGATATGCTAGGCACTGTGCTGAGCACGGAAGCACAGCTAGAAGTGAGAATAGATATGATCTCTGTCCTCAAGGATCAGCAAAAATTGCTATAAATCTTTGCTCACATGAATCATTTTCAGAGAAAAACACAAATGTATTTACAGCTGAACTTTATATCTCTACATTGTATTTCTATTTCTCCCAAATCATTTCCTTTTGTGCTTGGTAGCCCATAAGAGTGATTAGAAAACAGTAAAATTTGGGGTGCCTGAATGGCTCAGTCAGTAAAGTGTCTGCCTCTTGATCTCAGCTCAGGTCTTGATCTCAGAGTCACGAGTTCAAGCCCTGCATTGGGCTCAAGTGTGGAGCCTACTTAAATAAAAAAAAAAAGAGAGAGAGAGAGATAATGAAAGAAAACAGTAAAATTTGAGGAGAGGACACTGTTCAGTATTCTTAAAGCCCTTGACTCTTAACATGAGGATCTTTGAGCTTCTTCTATAAGGAAAGACCCTGAGGAGACCCCATCAGAATTTTTAGCGGCACTTATGATATACAGACATTAATACAACTAAGCAAGCTCCCAATTGTCAAATGGCTGTTGAAACACAAATTCTGCTTTTAGATGCACTGGCTGGAAGGCTAGCCCCATACTCAGATCATGTAACCTGTGATCTTCTCTCACTAAGTAAAATCAAATGGCTGTTGTATAGTACTGACTTCCTGCCCTGTGGTGTGCTGTTCAAGTTCTTTCAGACGCATTCATGGCGGTGGGGCTCCTTGGTCTCTGTGAGATCTCCCGCAACTCTGCGCTCCAGAGAGGTGATCAAGGGGACAGTGGCATTTGCAGCTGTGCCAGTTTTTCCTGCTGGCTGAACTTTTACAGGCTGAGTCAGTTACCTCTATAGTCTCACATGCTGTGCCCAGAACAGACAGAATGTCATCCTGTGAGTGAAACTTGACTCACCTATGCACACTTGCTCTACATCGGACAGAAAGTGCACGGCGGAACCAGCCCTACTTGAATGAATGCCATGATGGGTAGTCTCAGCGGGTCAGGGTTTTGAGATTCCACACAGTTCTAAGAGTTAATCAAGGCATCCACTCAATGTTTCTCAAAGTGTGATCATAGACTACATTCATTTATCAAGGGGACTTTAAATTGCACGTTCCTGGGCAGCTGGTGGAATCAGAATGTCTGGGGCTTAGCAACTAAGAGCCCCCACCTCAAACGAGCTCCCAGAAGCTCTGCAGGATGTTTGAGCCCAGGCCAAGAATGCTAAAATGACATAACGATTCTGTGCACTAGGCTAGATGTTCCTAAATTTTGTTGCAAATTGAAATCACTAGGGATCTTTTACAAATACTGATGCCTGGCTCCCACCCTAGACATTGGGTTCAATAGGTGTTTGATATAACCCAGGCATCAAGAGTTTTAAAAGCTCCCCCGACCACTCTAACACACAGCAGAGTTTAGCAAGCACTGCACCAGGACACAGGGCACAGCTATCAACTCCTCCAACCTCACCTGCAAATCACCTCACGTCTGCTCACTCAGGGAAAATAAAATTCTGGGCCACCCAGACAGGTGAGGGCTCAGAGCACTGATTTAGGGGGTATTATTTCCTGTGTGTCAAGTGTAGAAGGTGGTGAACTATCAGGGGACAGGGATATGGCTGAGTAGAGATGTTTTATCCACATGAGGAAAAGAGGAAAGGTTCTCTGTCTCTGGCCAGGATTGCAATCCTAGAAACTGATTTCACTCAACCATATCCTATTTCAAGCTTTTCAAACTATGGTTTGTAATTCATTACTGGGTTCTTAAGTCATTTTAATAGCTTGCAACCATCATTTTTTAATGGAATGGAACAGAATAGAACAGAACTAAACTGATCAGGAAATATCAGAGAGACCACCAGCTGAAAGAACCAATCATTGTTTGGGAACAATGTATCTTAGTGTGGTCCGTGGTTTAAAAAAAAAAAGAAAAAAAAAGTCTCACATCCTGCCCACAGCAGTTTCACAGTGTGATTCCATCTCTCTCCCTCAATCTCTCTGACCTCCCTTTGATTTTTCCAGCTGACAAGGATTTCTAAACCTCTACCATTGAGTTTAAAGGAGCACTGTAGTCGAATCCGGTGGCTGCATTTCAATTCATTTTGAAAGTACAGTACAGAGATGAAAATTAGCC